AAATGGACACTTCACAAGAGAGAGTGACCGACTTTTCAACGATCATGATTGAGACACGTAAACGAATAGAATTTCATATCCCTTTAGCCTAGTGAATTCAATTATCTATAATATATTAAAATATCACATCTATGGAGAATCATTTTTTGGACGATTTTAACATCTCTACAATTCAATTATTTTAATAATGCCTTACAAAACATTTTTCGATACACTACTAAAAAACAGCTTTTCACCTACGGAAAATTACCAACGGATCCGTTGGTAAAAGTAATTCACTTTTAGTTACGATAATTAGCAACGAATTTTCCGTTGGTAAAGATGATATCTCTTTACCAACCGATATTTCGTGCCTAATGTAATCGTTTAACATTTGAATCTTCCTCCAACGGATATTCCGTAGGTGATGTACCGAATATTACCAACGGATGTTGGATATTCCGTAGGTGATGTACCGAATATTGCCAATGGATTGCATCCATTGGTAATTAGAAACGGATTATCCGTTAGTAAAAGTAATTCACTTTTGGCTACAATAATTAGCAATAGATTTTTCGTTGGTAAAGATGATATCTCTTTACCAACGAATATTCCGTGTCTAATATAACCATTTAACATTTTGATCTTTTACTTACGGATATTCTGTTGGTAATTAGAAATGAATTATCCGTTAGTAAAAATGATATCTTTTTACCAACGGATATTTCGTGTCTAATATAACCGTTTAACATTTTGATCTTTCAGCAACAGATATTTCGTTGGTAATTAGAAATGGATTATCCGTTGGTAAAAATAATTCACTTATCCCACATTGGAAGTTTACAACAATATCTTTGTAATTGTCCTCTATAAATTTGTGGTCCAATAAGGAGTTAAACAATATTTTGGCATTTCAATTCAGTTGGCTAAAAATAAAAAAATATAATAATAATAGTTTTTTAACATTTATAACAATATTATATAAATATAACTAATGATACATTCAATGGTTTTGGAATGCTATAGACTAGTACACTACCTTGTTCAAATTAAAATTAAAATAATTTGATTTACTCAATATATAAAAAAATTAGAAAGATTCAGTTCTTATTCGATTTTTCGGTTCTTGGTCTAGAACCGAGAACCGAACCGTACCCATCGGTTCTCAATTCAGATACCCGTTCGAATATTTAATTTGACAAGAACCATCGGGTTCGATTCAATTCGGTTCAGGTGTGGGTTGATTCGAGAGATTTGCCCCGCCCTAGTAATATGTAATAAATATTACATAATTATTGTCATTTATGAAATTTGTGTTATTAATTCTCAATTAATTAACATTCACATTAACTTAGATTCAATGAATTTTCACTTGATGAATACTGAATTACATGAATTTAGGTTATTATGGATAAATTTATTCATATTCATATATCTAAAAATTTTAATAGATGTTTAAATTTGTGTATTAACAATTAATTTTTATGAATCATATGTAATATAAAAAGATTGTTAATTTATAGTATTTCATCATTACAAAAAATTTGAGTCGTAGAAATTGAATTTTGAGAATACAATTTGAGTATAATTTTATTCTTTTAAATTTCTATACTAAATTTTATTTTGTTTAATTTGTCTGAAACTCATCAAATCTATCAACAAATTGATATCAAATATTATTTTTACATTACTTATAAATATTTTTAGAATAACGTGCAATGCATGTTCAACTTTAATATTTTAAAATATCACATTAATGGAGAATCATTTTTGGGATGATTTTAACCTCCATACAATTCAATTATTTCGATAATTCCTTACTTTTCATTTTTCGATATGTAATAAATATTACATAATTATTGTCATATATGAAATTTGTGTTATTAATTCTCAATTAATTAATATTCACATTAATCTAGATTTAATGAATTTTCACTCAATGAATCTTGAACATGAATCTAAAGTTATTATAGATAAATTTATTCATATTCATGCATCTAAAAATTTTAATGAGTGTTTAAATTTGTGTAGAAACAATTTATTTTTCTGAATCAAATACAATATAAAAAGATTGCTAATTTATAGTATTTCATCATTACAAAAAATTTGAATCGTAGAAATTGAGTTTTGAGAATACAATTTGAATACAATTTTCTTTTCTTAGATTTCTATGCTAAATTTCATTTTCTTTTATTTGTCTGAGACTAATCAAATCCTCTGAAAAATTGGCACTAAATATTACTTTTACATCACTTATAAAGTTTTTTTAGAATAACGTGCAATGGACGTTTAACTTTGACTAGTATACTTAAAAGGCCTTAATTTTGTATTATTTATTATATAAATTTGCAAATACCATAAAAATTATTTTAACGACACAGATGCAAGAACAAAAAAATTATCGTTCGCTCAACAGTCTAAATTTTTAAGTGACTCGATATAGTATCTAAACACTAATATTTAGAATTTTAAGTCTCGAGTCATTATCAAATATGTGTACAAATTAGATGGTTACTAATTAAATTGATTTCGGATTAAACATTAGATAGCATGGAATAGATATAATCTATAGACTATAGAATGTGATCAAAAGATTTTAATAATTTGTTATACCTAACTTAAACGTGATTGAGTGAGTCTTTGTATTGGTAGCATTTCGCTTTCGATAGGGACATAAAAGTTCTCATGATTCATAGAAGCTATAGAACATAAATGGGTTGAGGCGTGCTTAACTAAGCTTATAAATTACTTTAAATGATTCACATTTTCAATATGCTTTAGTTGTTACTTTATTATTACTTTCGAGTAAAAATATATTTTTATTTTGATAGTAAGGTAATGATAATTTATACTATTTTATATTTTGTCTACTAATTTATTTATTTCTTAACCTGCCTACTTACATTTTAATTTTTTATAACTTGGCCAAATTAACCTGCACCATATTTGATGTGAAATGTCTGGTGATCTTAGGCAAGAACTTATTTATTTATTTGTTATGAAAGTTGATATGGAGCAACTATATTTATATAATTTAATTTAAATGAAACTCAAGTCGACAGCATTTGTGTGTATTATTTGTTTCCTAAAAGATATTAGGTTATTTTGGAAACAAGTAATTGTTAAAAAGTTGAAGCGAGTACGTAGAAATATACAAGATTTTAAAAAACACCCAATGTTATAGGTACGAGTCCCCTCGAGTCAATTTTAAGCCAAATTCAAAATTTGACAAGTTCAATAATAAGATCGAAGTTAATAGATTATAAGATTGACTAAATTATTCAGTCGTTAACTTTGATGGAGTCTCAAGCAAGTGATCTAACCAAAATAGATGATTTTACATCATTAAATGCAAGTAATTAATTAGAAATATGAGCTAATTATAGGAAGAATCAACATATGAAATTATCTTCGACGTGATAATACTATTATGACATACCAAGTAAAGCTTAAAATGTACGAGTCCCCATGCTTGATTGATTCAAAAACAAAATGCACCGAACCAATGCCAAGATTTAAAGTAGCTTGCGAGACGCACATAAATTTCATTTATGGTGTATCATTGATCCTAGATAACTAATAAGGAAAATCAATGCTCTCAACGTAAGATGTGCGTCATGTATCTTGAGCTAGGAACACGAAAGATGTATAACCATACGAGAATTGAAAATATGACTAATTCAAGCAATTATATAAACAATTGTTGTTACAAAGTACAATGGAATACAACATTCAAGCGATAGTTTGCAAATTCTATAAGCTTTAATACAAGTAGTCATCAGCAAGAATTGAAATGGAGAACAATCGCCTTTATATTAGCACGACTACTAGGAGTTAGCAACAATATTTTGAAAATTGACCTTGTCATCGACCCAAAAAAGGTCAAGGGTTAAAAGTTTAATCGGGGTCGAATTGGATGAAATAAATACATACAAAAATAATAAAATACAATGAAAACAATAATTTTTTTTTTTAAATTTTCATATTAATAATTTGTTAATTAGATTCATTATTCTATAATTTGTTAACATTTTTGTTATGCCACTATCTCATATTAGAAGTTTATGAAACCATTGGAAAGAAGTGCATCTATAAAATGTATCATCCCACATTGGAAGTTTATAAAACTATTTGAGAGTGGTGCATCTATAAAAGGAGTACGTTATCCAATTTTTCTCTATGGGTTTTCTAAACTGTGAACCCTTAAAAAAAACGAAAAAAAGAAAAAAAAAAAAAAGGCTATCAGTTCACCGGTTTACGGTTAAACCGGCCAATTTGGTAGGTTTTTAAGTTATTAATCAGGCATGATTGACTCAATTTTGGAGAGACTATAAAAAGAGACTCTAATTACACTTGAGCCCAATAACAAATTTGAGGTCATTCAAAATGCCAATTCTTCCCCCTTTTAAAGCCAAGATTGCATATTTCACCAGAGGATTTGGTGGGCACGATATCTGGGAGACACTATCCTATCATAATTTATACAACTAGGTCCATGTTGCTTCAATCAGAATTCCATGCAACAGACATAAAAATCCCCCAAACAAATCCAACCAATAATTTATAGTCCGGATAATAAAGAATATCTTGAAAATGAAACAAATAAATTTAATTTTATTTCTAAACATACAGATCTTCACATTATCAAAAACTTAGAAACACTTTAAAAATGATTACAATTACGTGTTTTTATTGTTTTGAACAATGTTACAAGAATTAAATCAGAGTAGTCGGTTCGATTGGATAATCAGAAAATAATTTTGAAATCTTATCCACTTGTGCGTAAAATGTGTCAAATGGTAAAATAGTTTAATAGAATGTTGGAGCTAGCTATTTACAAAATACTTAGAGGGCATTCCCTTTTCCATTTTCCAGCCATTTCTCTTTTTAGTTTTCGAAAACGCCCAAAACGCGTTTGGTACGTCATTTCTAAAAATGCATTTCGAAAAACAAGAAAAAACTTATAACTGAAAATGGAGAACGGTTTTTTTTTTTTTTCATTTTCGATGTTTTTAGTTGAAAATGCTCAAAATGCCCAAAACACTCAAAAGGCGCTGAAAACACACTACAATAAAAATTCTATTCAAAACAATAGAAACTTGGCCCTTTTCTCACGATTCCTCTCTCCTCTCTCACTTCACTCGACGCCTTCTCCAAATCAGCCCGCACGACGACGTCCTCCGTCCGGCACCACTCCGACGAGGTCCTACAATCTGGCGAGCAGGTACGTAATATTCCTCAAAACTTGCTTGGAAACCCTTTTTTTTTTTTTT